GGGAAGGGGGGGGGGGGGGGGGGGGGGGGGCTGAAGCCCCCCAGCCCCCCCCCCTCGCTGTGCCACTGCCCCCCACCCATTTTTTCTGTCCGCGCTACCTTTATACTTGGGGGGAAGGTGTCGCGGTCGTCAAAGGCGAGAAGTGTCGTGCATTTTCATGACTTTGGGTTAGAACAGAATGTTGATGAGTTTCGTCTGGTGCTGAATGGTTGCTGTTGCTGGGGGTTAAAAGGAGCGAGGTAGAAATAAATCGTGCGGCTTCAAGGTATACATCGTCAAGGAGGAAGACTGGGTTCATTGTATTGCATGGTTTATTCCGTAGGAACAGCAATCACATGTATCACACGAAGAGGAAGAGAGAATGGGGCGAATAAAATCAAGTCAAACGCGTCTCTGGTCCACTCGTAATCGATGAAATCATCGAAATATATAAATTTTAAGATGAAAATTCATGTCACAAATGGGATCACTTAGTGGATCTGGGCTGCGAGTCCATCACCCACTGTCTCAGCCACTCCTTCTTGGCCTCCCGATCCACCGTCGTCTCCACCCCGTGCCGGAGCAGGGTTGCCAGAAGTCTGTTCTTCTCCTCCCGACTGCTCGCCACGGAATACGCGAGGCTGCAGGGATCGTCCCGCTCCGAGAAGGCCCAAGAGGCCTCGGGAGATCGCAGGAGCCATCGGTCTTTCGTGTCCGCCTTGAGCACTTCCCCCACGTCCCCGCGCTTCTCCGGCTTCGGTTCCAGGATCCGCCTGAGGAGGCGCTGGAGCTTGTGCGAGAACCGGTGGAAGTGTGACGGCGCCTGGGACTTGATGCCTCGCTGTCGGTGCCACCTGAGGAACTGGCAGTACTTCGGGTCCGTGATGTCCGCCTTGGCCCAGGGGAGGCAGCCGGTGAGGCAGACGTACGCGATGACCCCCAGCTGCCACACGTCCGACCCCGTCTCCACCGCGTAGAACTCCTCGGGGAACACGTCGCAGATCTCCGGCGGCGTGTACGGCACCATCATCATGCACGCCGAGTCCTTCTTCGCCTGCGTCCCCGCCTTCACCGTCGACCCGAAATCCGCCAGCTTCACCCTCGAAAAGTCCCCCGCGAAGACCAGCACGTTATCCAACTTGAGATCCCGATGCACGAGCGACTTGGAATGCAAAAACTCCAAGGCCGACGCCAGCTGCACGGCCACTCGCTTCGCGCCCGACTCCCCGATCCCGTTTTCCCCCAAGTTCGACGTGAGATCTCCCAACGGGGCCAATTCCTGCGCGAAATAGTAGGCCCCCGCGTCCTGGAAGGCCACGTCGTACGTGTTCAGCACGTTCACGTGCGGGCTCAGGAAATACGAATAGTGGAATTCCCGGAGGAAATCCTTGAGGTCGGTCGAGTCCTTGGAGATGGCCTTGAGCACGACCTCGGTGCCGGTCTTTCGGTGCTCCACCAGTATCACTTTCGCGAACCATCCTTCCCCCAGCTCTTGGATCGCTTCGTACTCTTTGTCCACGTCCACCTGCGGGTAAATCGTCGGTTAACCGTCGTGATTCTTTTTTTTTTTAATCTTGATTTTGTTACTTTCAATGTGATTAATTGTGATGCTGACCCTGGGGAGTCGGAGATCCCTGATTTTGTGGATGCTGCTGCTTCTGCGTGCCAGATTCGTCGTCGTCATCTTTCACCTGTTAAAAAAAAAAGAAAAAAAGGAAAAGGTGAGAAGGTGCATCTGAGGCCTTTTCACTCCTCGTAATTCTTTCTATGCTCATTCGCCACTTTGAGATCCCGACGCGCACATTCGCAGTCCGAACCACGACGAACGAATCTTTCGCATTAGACACGAGATTTTTATTTATTTTATATTTATATATTTATTCTAATATTTTTAAGGTAATAATTTGAAAAGAGATAACACCCCCCTAATAAAAAAATCTGAAAAGACCATCGCGACTCAGATCACTCACCAATCTTAACCACCCCAAATTTAAAAAAAAAAATTAAATTAATTTAAGAAATGAAAACCCAGTCGACGAAGAAGGCACAGACTCCCCACTCACCCCACAAATCTCCCCCTCGAAGCAGAGAGAAACAGAAGAAAGGCTCGAATGCGACCGCCACCTTGCACGAGACCCGACCGTCCACCTCGAGATTCACTCTGCCCTCTGACAACCTGGCGAGAGCGCGTCTCGTATTTATATCCACTCTCCGCCTCCTCGTTGCCAAGGCGCGGATCCTCCGTCGGCCTCCCCCTCCCTCCCTCTCTCCCTCCCTCTCTTCCTCCCTCTCTCCCTCCCTCTTCCCTCCTCGTTTTCCTCTGGTTTTTCTTGTAATTTGTCCGTCGTCGATCTCCGTGTGCCCTTTTGAGTCTGGGAAATGGCTCAAATGATGCGGGGGAGGAGACGATCGGATTCAGGATGCTAACGAGAGCCGTTCGTTTCTGCGAAGGATTTAAATTGGGGGTGGAAATTGGGGGAGGGGGGGGGGGAATCGTCTCATCTGACGAAGGAGTACGGAATTAAACTTGGCCTTGTGGCGAGGAGAGGAGAAAGAAAACCACTTTAAATGATAAATAAACGAACAGTGCATGTATGTGTGTCCCTTCGGATCGCTGAGTATACAAAAAGGATATATACATCTGTCCAGAAAAACGTGGATCCCATGAGGTAGTACGAACCTCGCGATCTTCGCGAACCTCGCGGTCATCGCGATCATCGCGTCGCTCTCCCATCGTTTCCGGCGCGAAATCGAACGACTCGACGTCCCGGGACACGACGACAAACACCGGGACTTCCCCCTGTCCCATCGGGACAGGTGTCCTCGCTGGGCTTACCCACGAGTGACGCCGGTTCGGGCTCCGTGCCAACCGCTCGAGTGGGCTCCGTGCCAATCCCTCCCGCCTTTTTATCATTCCCTGAACCGCAAAATCCCTTCCTGGAAGTTGTCAGCGCGAAGAGGTCCCGAGACACTTCCGAGAACAGTCCATTAAAATCCGCCTCTTCCTTTGTTCCGCGTCGTTTTTCCGGCCTCGTTTCCTCACAAAACAAACCGACAAACTACCTCTAGAAAAATACGGTGTGAAATCTGCCAGCTCTACTCTGGAAGCCCAGAAATAAAGTGAAAAGTGAATTTCTTGGGAAGTCGCGCGACTAAGATTTCCATTGTAATCCGACTAAAATTCAGGTCTTTTTTTTTTTCTTCTTTGAACTTTTCTCGTACCAAGAGTATTTAAAGGTACATTTAAAAAAAAATGACATTTTAACCACCAGTTTACTCTAATTTCGGGACTGCCCGCTGACGCTCCACAATTTTATATTTATTTTCCTTTTTTCATTTTTTTTTCAGCTCCACGACGACGTGCGAGAATAATTATGGACCAGGCAGAAACACGGAACTATATTTTCAATTTTACAAATCTCCTTATGAAATCAAATTTTAAATCTCTTAAAAAAAAAAAGACCCTCCCCGCTGCCCCCTTTGCCCCCTCTTTTCTCCATCCCCTCCCTCCTCCCTTGAGCAAAAAATAAGTGAAACCAATTTCACGCAATTTTCTTCCCATCGTTTTTTTTTTCTTCGTGAATCGTTACTGATGAGAAAACAACGGAAGTGACCTCGATCATTCAACTGCCTACCCTCAAGTCCTTCCCCTCCTCCTCCCTCCTCCTCCTCCTCCTCCTCCCTCCTCCTCCTCCTCCTCCTCCTCCCTCCTCCATCTATGTGCGCAGAACGAAGATCGGGCGTCTCGGATTTCTCATTTAACGAGTCGTCGATTTTCTCTACTCCCCCTCGGGAACCTGCGTTTAATCCAACATTCTCCGGCAAACGACCCCGTCGTTACTTCCACAGAATAGCCTTTGTGTCGCAAATGGCTTCCCCTAAAGGTAATAGAAGAGAAATACAAGGAACCTTCCCTGATCGATTCCCCGAATCCTTCCCAGTTTATATGGCACCCACTCACGAAATGAACCGGAGTCGACACTAATTGAATCATTTTTCCCCCTTCCCCCCGTCCGAAGCCCCTTCGTCGGGGAACAACCTTTCCTGGTCGTATCGAGCCGTCCCCTATTGCCCCGAAAATGAATCGAAGGTGGATCCCCCGGGGGATTCCTAACGTAATTGGATCGACACTGAATTATTCACGAGGTGCATGCCATCACGGTGCTCGAAATTAATAGGCACGCGGAGACGGATCCAGATGGATCTTTCATCGAACTTCGCCCCCCTGTATATCATTACGCCGTGGGGAAGGCGCGCGATGATGATGATGAGTCGCCGAGAACACAATGGACACTTACATATTTGATCCCCGACCTCGGACGTCTGCCCTCCAGTCCCTTCGTGCGATGGGTCTGGGTCGCTTCTGTCGCTGCGTCGTCTGCTTCTTCCTTTTATACCCCTCAGGTGAGCCCCCCGGGGGGGGGGGGGGGGGGGGGGGGGGGGGGGGTCCGGGGGGGGGGGGGGGGGGGGGGGGTGGAGGGCATGCACTGCTCTCGCGGGGTCAGTCGGGTGGAAGACGTTGGAGGAGGCGGTTTGCTGTCCAGTCTCTATGGCTAAGTTACGGCGGCAAGATTTCGCACCGGATGTAATTTCGCGAATTTGACGAGGTATAAAGAATCGCGAAATTAAATCGGCGCGCGGTTGTTTTCGCCATGCTGTTGTTTGCGTGGAGGGAGGATGCTTGAATGACGTCAACAGCTATAAGCTTTGGGACAGCTGTAAGATGAGATTCATCTTTATTTATAAATCTGTATAATGAATGATGGAATTTCTCGGAAGAAGAATAAACATTCGTTGAGAACATTCAGGCCTTAATCGGTAAGCTTCGATGAGCCAGGAAACGTAGGCGGAAATCGATTTAAGCCCGAAGGCAAGACGAATGAGAAAGAAGAGCGAGCAGATAGGTGCTAAACGGATGTGTTCTGATGACGGGCTCTGTGATGCAGGTGAGGCGGGGGATGAGGGGATGGCGAAGTGGTTCGCTTCCTTTCGAGCCAACGTCGTCGTCTTGGATCCCTGGCTGATCGAGTCCTCGCTGCCCGGCCTTCCAGGTCTTTCTCGTCTGCATGCATACTGGGGGAGGGGGCATGGGGGGAGATGAGGAATGGGTGCAGGGTGCTGATTGATACACGGGCATCAGCTGATGCTTCGTTGAACTCGTGGTGACGTGAACGAGTGCGTGTTTGTTTCGCGAACTGGTGCACTTATTTTGGGACGGGAGGGGGGAGAAGTGGAGGGTGAGGGGACCGAAGATGTGGGGAGGGATCGCTTGCTCGAGTTTCGTGCTTGGCAATCACTTCCGACCCGGAAGTGATAGCCGAGCCGTTGGATGATGGAGATTCCGCGCGTTGGAACGTGAGAATTTCCGCGGTTGTCGTGGCAATCGAAGTGGGAGTTGCACGGGAGATCCTTGAGTATTAGGGAGCGTTTATGTCCATAAGCCTTCCTGAACGATAAAAAAACGCTCGACTGCTCGTCGAGTTTAAAGGAAATTCGATCGTACACACGATTAAAATCCGTTTCAAACTGACTTTCAGGTGGCTCAATGCTCGATTGGGTAAAACAGTTTCGTGGATGAAAGCAACCAGAAGAGAACCTGGTTTGAAGAGCGTCTCGTCGCCGACTCCACTTAAAACATGCGCCGCGTCTCGGAAATGCTCAGAGAATTAGACAGAACCAGGCCAAACTCGAAGAGAAGCCAGCGATAAAACCCAATCCGCCACACGTTAGTCGAGTAAACCGTGCGCATCTAAATCGAAGAGTTTAACTGGAAAACACTGGCGTAGCCAGAATTTCTTAAAAGGGGGGGGGGGGGGATTTAGGCTAAGGGCAGAATTAGAACCAACAAATTTAGGAACCATCAGCCCCCCGCCCCCTCCCGATACACCACAGCAGGGAAGTGCATGCCGACGGGTGAGGAATCATGCCCTCTAGGGAAAATAGGGGGAAACGAAAGCTGGGTGGACGAGGAGGCGAGGTGGACGGAGATTGCGAGGTCGGCTCCGATCGTCCTGGTCAGCGGTGTGAATTGCTCGATGCAGGGTGTATTCGACTCTGCGGAAAAAGGGATGCAGGGTGTATTCGACTCTGCGGAGGAGAATAGCGGGGAGGTTCAGGTGCTCGTCGTCTGTCCTGTGCTCTTTACGGTCCAGATACTGCGACAGGTATTCCTTCCTTCGAGACTTCGTATTCTCGTCGAAATTTTTTCATTTTTCTCGCGAATTGTGTGTTCTCGTCCCGGCAGGCGAAAGGACGGGTGGGGAGTTCGTCCAGGTACAGGTGGCTGGTGTTCACCCCGGAAGACGAGAGCCTCGCCGAGGAGATGCTGTCCAAGGTCGCGAGGGGGATGAGGGTCGTTCTCAACGGGCGGGCGGTCTCGTCTCTGTTCTCCGAGGGGTTCGCGCCTCTCGAGGGGAAGTGGGACGGGCCGGCTCCGACGAGGTGGGACTTCGGGGGAGAGGGGTTCATCGTGTCTGCGAATAACGTGCCGCCGTGGGTGTTGTTGAATGGGGATGAGAATGTGGCGAGGCTGGAGGGGCTCTACCTCGATGGGGTGGATCTCAACGTCGCGAGGCACTTCTCGAGATACTTCAACTTCTCGTGGGTATTGGAAGTGTCGTCTGGGGGGGGTCGATGGGGCGAGTTAAAGTCGGGTTTCGTCGTGTCGGTAGGTGGAAGGTGGTGCCGCCGAGCGATGGGCAATGGGGTCAGCCTCTGCCGAATGGGACGTTTACGGGGCTCGTGGGGGACGTGGCGGGGGGCAAGGCGACGATGGCCATCTGCGAGATCACCATCACGGCCATCAGGGCGCAAGTCGTGGATTTCACCGTGCCGTATTTTGCGGAGTCGTTGAGCTTCGTGAGTCCGCCGCCTGATGCTGCGCCGCGCACCTTCATCGTCTTCGCGCCCTTCTCTCCCTTGGTACGTTGGGGCTGAGGGCGTGGGTGAAAGAGGGGGCTGAGGAGGGTAAGAGGGGAGGGAGGGGAATGGGGCGCCCGACCCCGACTGAAGATGAATGAAGGAAAAAGGGCAGAAGTGGTTCACCGGAAAAGTATATAACAGATCCTCAACCTCCACAAAAGTAAACATGTCACGTACAGGAGACCTTCCAGTTCTCAACCTTCTTTGGGGTGAGGGGTAAAGGGCGAGAAGGGGCTAGGAGTAAGGGGGAGGCAATCGCAGAGCAGTCGGACACCATCCAGTCGGCTGCTCGTGCATCTGCGTAGCGTTTCTCATCGTGGCAGTCTTTCTGGGTTTACAATGGAACTTTTTCAATTTGTATCCTGGCTTGTATGGAGTCAGTCCTAGGGCAAGCGAATTGCGTCGCACAGCTGCGTATTGTCTCAAAAAATAAAAAATAATATAAAAAATAATATATATATCTTTTTTGTTTGTTTTTTTCCTTGGGAGAGGGAGAGATAGGGACAAAAAAAAAAAGCCTTAAAAATAAAAAGTTTACTTCCCACAGTTTTCGCTATGAACGTTTTAAAAGGATACTCTAAGGTTATGGTTACTTACCACTGGCCAAAATTTCAACTCCAAGTTTCTGTTTCCGGGAATCTTCGAATTTGCTCAGGCTTTATTGAGATGGGTTCGGCCAACCTTCTTCCAATCGTCACAGCTATCATTAGATTGGTCACTTTCACTATAGGCGTTTCGATCGGACCAATCAATGAGCTCGTAACGAACCGACCAATGAGGAGACAAATATGGATCCCCCCGCAGATCTGGGCGCTGGTGGCCCTGTCGCTGGGGTTGTGCACCCTCGCGGTCTACGGGGTGCACCGCCTCGAGCTGCGTCTCCTGGAGGCACCCGAGCGGCACCCTTCGATGAGACGGACCGCCTTGCTCCTGTTCCAGAATTTGATGGCGGAGAATGTTCCGACTTACTTTCCGTATTCCAGGCATGCGACTCGGGTCCTGCTCGTCACTTGGCTCTTCTTCTGTCTCATCATCGTCGGTAAAGGCTTTTTCAGTGCTGTTTACTCCAAGTACTATTCAGTACTTACGTTTTCATGATTTCATTTTTATGTGTTTCCCATCCTGTTGCGTATTGGCTCGAGTGGCAAAATAGTTTGTTCTAGTTGCAAAATTTTTTGCATTTGTTGGAAAAGTTCTCCCCTTCCCGCTGGCTTGAAAGAGACGCGGCGATCCGGCAACACTGTCTAACCTTCGCTTTAGCAGGATGGAGAGTGTTGCCCGATGCAGCATTTATGAATCGCTTTCTTCAAGTTTTTGCTTCACGAATCTCATATGGTAAAGCGCCAGTCCTTGCCTCCAGCTGGAAATTATTTATAATTGCATTCATGCTAGTCTTACGATTTCGTTATCGTTCGAGTTTGCCTTCCGGGTGAATTTGGTCCAAAATAACTTCGTGATGAGCCCATATCGATTACAATTAGCTAATTACGCCTGGCTGAAACTCTGAATCTAATTCCGTTTCTCTTTGGAATTTATGAGCGAAAGTAATAAATTAATGATAGAAATTAGTAGCCATAAGTTAATCATGGTTATCAGTGTTAATTGCACGCATTAATACTTGTAATACAAAATTAATCAAATCGTGCATTATTTAAAGAAAGGACACGTATTGCCGACTTCAGCACCGAGATCAATGAACCATTGCAATCACTGTCCCAGACGAAGCCAAATCCCACCGAAAACACTGAAGTCGCTTTCAACTTCGGAGCAACACTGGAAAATGGCTCCCCAGTGT